TATAACTGCTAAGAAAACAATTGCACTAGGAAGCTCAAGAGCAAGTCTGGAATGCATGGTGGCCAGAATAACTGTGAGGTAAAGGAAATCATGGCTCATCGCTAAAATAAGCAAGGACTTGTTGCTTCAATGAAATGAGCACAGGAGAATATTTTATCAAGCGTTTTGAACATTTGAAAATATTCAAACATTCAAAATAATATAATATATAATAATATAGATCATAGGTGTCAAACTTAATTCCTACGCATCAGCGTAGTGTGAATCCTCAAAAGGGCCAAATAAATATCTGAGATCAGCTTTGTTACTCATAAGTGCTTTTAGCTAGGTCTGAAGACATTCAAGTAATTATTACATTTAAAGCTTAAGTAAAGTTTTATTATCAAGAATAATATTTTATTTGGTGTTGGGTTATTTCCATGAAAAACAAAAAGTTCTGCTGTTTTCCATATTAAAAACCTTGGCGATCACTGGTTGTCAAGTTTAGTTGCAATTTTGCTTTTTTATAAAAAAAAAAAAATATATATATATATATATATACTGTATGTTAATGTGTTTGGTCTTGGCGGAATAGATCTGCTGCGCTGCAGCTGCTGCGGAGGTGGCAGAGGAAGTACCTGCTCGCACATCGCCCGCGACGACGATCATCATGTCAGGACCGCTTCCCACGTATCGACGAGGACACGAAAGGTTCAGTAGACTTTTTGCTTTAAATGAATGGTTATTGAATAAATTTGACTTGACTTGCTACTGCGAATACATCCGTCAAGTCAAGTTTATTTGAGACATTAAACTGAGCTACTGCGAATACGTCTTTCGGAAGAGACGTTAAACCGAGTCTAAACCAGACTGACTCTCTGTGGTCATTAAAAATCCCTGGCACCCTGGCCAAATTCGCCCATTGGCCTCTGACCATCATGGCCTCCTAACCATCCCCATATCTGCTGATTGGCTTCATCACTCTGTCTCCTCTCCACCAATAAGCTGGTGTGTGGTGGGTGTTCTGGCACAATATGGCTGCCGTCGCATTATCCAGGTGGATGCTGCATACTGGTGGTGGTTGAGGAGATTCCCCCTTTCTATGTAAAGCGCTTTGAGTGCCCAGAAAAGCGCTATATAAATGTAAGGAATTATGAATTAATTATTATTATTATCCACAGACATGCTGCTGTGAGCATGTAGGACTTACTGCTGCTGCACATATAACATACATGAAATCACCCCATAGCTGGGGAAGGTGGAGGGTTTCTGAAGCGCGCTGCAACCGCTACAGCAAGCACTAGCCGAGTATTTGAATGTTGAGCAGCAAGCTCATTGGCTGCTGATGTGAAAAGAAATCAATCAGCTGTGCCATGTGAATAATGATGTCATTATGTCAGATTGAGGTAGAATCTATCAGCCAAGATATTGGCCATTTCCTTAGGAGACACACTGCCATCACCACCAGAACATTTGGAACAATTTTACCCACTGGGCCCAGAATTCCCTCCATAAACCTGCCACTGGATTTACCCCTTCAAATGCTCACTCAACTTCCAACCAATTCCCGTGGTCTTGAGAACCATCAGAGGAACCCACCGTCAATCACTGGTTCCTAGAGAGCGAAAGATATCCAGCTTTGACTGCCCAGCAAAAAGTTAAGCCCCAGATGCAGTGGCCCATACTGAAGTTGTCTTGATTACCTAATCAACTGAGAGGTGTATGGCCTAGAAGAAAGATCTTGGGTGGCTTGAGACAACATCCTGGACCCAACCCTGCTTGCCACCTTCCATGCAGACCTGGATCCTGAACCCAACCATGCTGGCCATCTTCCATGCAGGCCGTTTAGCCACCCAGATGAGGATGGGTCGTGGATGGTGTCCGATATCTTGGGACTCCAGAGCGGCCAGAATGGAGTGTGGTACTGTCACTCCACCAGCCATTCCCTGTACTTCCACTTTCCTTGCAATCTCACATTAACAAGTCTAACAAAGGACTATCACTGACCTCTACTGCAGTGTTGCTCACCTCATATGGTTGATTGCTCTTTGTCTTCCTTCCATTGTGGATTATTCCAGCCTTCATCGTCTTCCTCCCATTGTGGATTACTCCCCATTGACTACCATTCTCCCAGGCATCATATGGCTATGATCTACTTACCGATGTGTCTCTGCCGGTTTAAACAAAAAAAAAAAACGAACAAAAAAAACCCCCATTAAGGTTTCAGGTAGTCACATGATATTTTAAACAACCCTTTTCATCAAAGGTCATATTCAGGGGCCCTCTATGATATCAGTTTCTGTTTTCTTTCTTTTTTCATGTGTTGGTATCTCATACTTTGGATTTTCTAAGTAATTTCCTTCTGAGAACTTTTAATTTAAAGCTTTTTTTATGTATTTATTTATTAAGATATATATATCCCCCTCACATTTTTCACTTTATGCTAAGTAATAAAGTTATATGAGTTTGGAACTGCATGAAGGTGTGTAAATAATGACAGAATTATTATTTTGGGGTGAACTATTCCTTGGAAAATATCTTTCTTTCTACAGCAGGCCATCAATCCTCTACTAAAGACCAGTTTACAATTACTGAATATCTGCCTGTCCAAACCTAACAAAATCAGCAGAATTTTTAAACTGGCTGTGTGTTTTTTAATCATGACCCATGACTGCAGTTCGAGATGGAGGGAAGGGTGTTGGTGGATCAATAATGATCACATCTCACACAACATCCTGGAGGCTCTGTGTTCCCTGTTACTACTTTACAGAGTCAAAGAACAGTGTGATTTCTTCTAGTTGGCCCCTGGAGATGGTTTGTATGCTTTTTCTCTCCACTGGCATAATTAAACATCCACATGCCCAGGCCGCACCCGTCACCCCATAATGAACTTGTTTGGATGGCGGAGTGAATCTGCCTCGTCTCTTCACTCTTTGACAGCTTAGAACACCTTCCCATCATCTCTACATCAGACTCTGTCATCTTTACTCCAGCACTGTACACCTTTTTTTATTGGGGTATGCGCATCTGTCAGTGCTGGTATATGTTAGGAAAGAGATGTGCATGTAGAAAGTGGACTGCCTACAAAGCAAATAAATTCAACATGACATTCAATGGTAACTTGTAACGTGAGCTCAGTAGGTTTTCAGATACAGTCAATATATGAAATAATAGGAGGACACATTATTAGCCAAGTGACAGTAAGACTAGGGTAAGTAAATGTGAAATTTTGTAATGGATAAATTGATGTATTGGGAAGTAATACTAGCTTACTATTAACGGAATACTTTGCACAGCCCTACTTTGCAATATATATGCTGGTTATGTTTGGAATAACATAGCCTACTATACTGTTATTACTATTGCTGCAGTACATATTATGAATTTTATGCACAATATGCACATATTCACATGACCTTCAATGCTACACTGCAGTATACAATAAGAACACAGAGAATACTGTAATATAGCAATGCAATGCTGTTGACTTGACACTCCATTTTCTCTGTAAAGGGTGAATTGGAAGTAATTAAATTTGCAATGCTTTATTCATCACACCGGTGAGAAATGAAGGGTCAAGGTGAGAACATTGCATTGTGGGATACATTATTATACATTATGTTCTGTTGTAAACTGCTTTTCTTGAATACTGTAGATTTCTCAATACTGTAGAAAATCACCTGCATATGCTTACAGCACACCGTATACATAGCATATACTACACAAATAGTACGGTATATGTCTTTCTGAACTTTGCTTTTGAGTAAACACCTGTAGCTACAGCCACTTTTCTGCAGTTTTTCTGTATTCAGGACCAATTTGTTGTTGATTTATTTCAGGCAATAGTATATTAAGCTCATATTAAGCTTTTATCTCACCATTTTTATATTTTATCAAACAACACTTCAATGAAAAAAAAAATTAAATACAAAATTACTGACCAGGTATAGTTAAGCAAAATGGGCAAATTGCTTTTTATTTTAGTTTTGTTGTTGACATCAAAGACTATGCATCCAGTAAAACTACAATAATTCGACAAAAATTCATCAGTCACTTAGTATATATATATATATATATAAATATATAACTTTGACTATGTTAAAAAAAATAACTTAAAAAGCAGCTAACTAACACAATAAAACACAATAAAAACAAGATAACATAATAAAAAACATGATTTTTGAAAATAAAAAAATGGAGTTATCTGTTTTTGCAAATAAACTCTTCATATGTAGCTGTTTATTGTATATTAGGCTAGTAAATCACAGTGCTGCTGTTTTATGCATTAAAAGTCTGAATAAAATTTATTTCAGCCTATGTTATTTTAATCATTTTGCATTGTAATTCATATTTTACTTGGTAATCCTTTTTAATTTGGTACTGTCACCAGTACAATTTAAAATCTGAATGCTGAAACAAAACCAGTTTTGAACCACTTATGTTTATTAAGTTCTTGGGGGGGGTGAGTCGTGGCCTAATGGTCAGAGAGTCGGACTCGTAACCCAAAAGGTTGCAGGTTCAAGTCTCATACTGGCAAGGATTGTGGGTGGGGGGAGTGAATGTACAGCTCTCTCTTCCACCTTCAATACCACGACTGAGGTGCCCTTGAGCAAGGCACCGAACCCCCAACTGCTCCCCGGGCGCCGCAGCAAAAATGGCTGCCCACTGCTCCGGGTGTGTGTTCACGGTGTGCGTGTGTTCACTGCTGTGTGTGCACTTTGGATGGGTTAAAATGCAGAGCACTAATTCCAAGTATGGGTCACCATTCTTGGCCACATGTCACATCACTTTTATTGTCTATATCCTAGGCTACCATACTTCAATACATATATTGTGTCTGTTTTTAACCTTTGCAGTCGCACATTTACTAAGTTCATAGTAGCCTATATTATAATAGCCTTTAAATACATATTCAGTATGCACTATGTTAACAGTTTTAAACGCTAGTGTAAAGGCGAATATTGACTTAACTGACCCCCTGTGCGCATGTCTCTCTCTCTCTCTCTCTCTCTCTCCTCAACAGTCTAAAAGTCTCACATTTTTAATTCATCTTTATTGAGCAGACGTGGACTAATTAGCGGACATGGTGCAATACCGGACAGGTGTTACTCGATTTATCCGAAGACAGAGACGGGGATGTACATAATCTTTCTCCATTCGCATTTATTTCGGGTTTTATCCTGCGAATGTGCCCTTTGCCCCTTTATTTACGCACTGAACTGCGCCATTCTGAATGCCCTTTTCGTGCAGTCTTTAGCTCTCCGTCGTGTATTCCCCGCATAGAGATATCTGTATACCGCTTCCTCAGTTGGCTGTGAGGCGCATACAAAAGTTGCAGCGGTCGCGACTGCTAATGCGCGTTAGCTAGCGCGCTCGAGTTCTCAAACGAGCCGTCTTAAGTATGAAAACGGCTTATATTCGCTGTTGACAGCCGGTATACGGTGTCGTTGGTTTAAAACGACACAGAGGAATGACATAAGCTAGCGTTCACACGGAGTGCCCGTTTCTGTTTCGACCGCGTACAACTGAAGCGGCGGTATTTGTATGCTCGGTGGCACTTCGGTGACATTAGCGTCACTGTCAGCTCGTTTGTCGATTTGTCGGGTTTTATTCAGCTTTTGTTGTGTTTTTGTAATCGCATGGCTGAAGGGTAACTTGTACTGGAGTTTTCGTTTGGAGGGGCGTTTACCGTGTTGAAGCTAGCAGGAGCTTTTTGACGGTAGATCACGGGCTGCCGGGAGTTTGACAAGCAGCTTATGTAATGCTGGCGATTCCCCGCTCGACCGCAACAGACGAATAAACAGCGGGTATTCAGAGTGCGACGAAGTTTATGTCGTGACACGACTTGTAGGCGTCGTCATTACGGTGCATTTATGTGTGCTTTCTTCCCGTGAGTTGTTGCGACTCGCTGCTGTTGAAACACTGTGTCGAAGCTGCTGCGCGTCTTGTAAAAATCTATCGAACATGCGGGAAGTTCAACGAAAAGCTATTGCGGACACCATCTGAACGCTTAAACAGCTTTGGACTTGTAAAGAAATGCATTTTTCGTCAAAAATCTTGTAAAGGTAAGTGTCTCATGCATTTGCTTTCCGTGCGTTGTGAATGCAGAGTGCATTTTTTTGCAATTGCACACCGTCTGCGCTCATTTTTCTTGTTTTAACCTTGACATATATCTCATGTGAACCCATATAGCTGCTGCTATGGCTTTAAATTATGTTTCAAAGCTTCTCCTGCTGCCACAATTTTGCGTCATTTAGACATTCCATGCCTTTTAACGTTTAAACCACGTCCTCAGACTTGGTTTCAGTTCTCGTTAAGTCATTTAGTATGTATTGATGTGCTGTTTGACATTTATGTAGGTTTAACGAGCTTTAGTGCGCATTAAGCGGTTTGTCAGGCTGAAGTTCATTTTGGACGCAGTAGCTAAGCTCAACCGACAGGTGGCAGCACTGCGGTGCATCGACTGATGCATTTGGAGGATTTGTATGATTTTTAATGTCTCTACGCGCCTCAAGCCTTTATTATCTGAGCAAACAATCGCCTCATCAAGCTCCATTTTGTGGGATGAGTTTGAATGCGTTGCAGTAGGTTTTTATAGAACTACATAATCCATTAGTGCAGTAATGCAGACTATAGATTCAAATAAGTTGGCAGGAGAAAAAAAACAAAAAAAAACAAATGCTGGTACAAGGGTCAAATACAACTTGAATCGTTGTTTAGCTGAAAAGTCTTAGAAAGCTACAAAACCCATTCATTATATCACCCCAAGAGAGCTTTTGTGTGGGCATCTGGATAGAAATGTCGTTTCATATCATATTATTTAATTGCATTAGGAGCCGAGAGGAACTCCAGGTGGGAGTTCTGTCCAGACCTACTCTATTCAAAGTCTGAATCTGTAATATTTTCTGAATAACTCACCAGCAAATAAATGTTGGCGCAAAATTGCGTTTTTCCTTTGCATTTTTTTGTCTTGTGTAAACGTAAGTGCAATTGTAAAATACTACGATAGCAATTTGTACTCCATTTTATATGTAAAACATAATGTATTTTTTGATAATATTAACTAAATTTTATGTTTAATATGTTTCTGTCTATACAACAGGATTAAGATATGGACGGTGGACAAAAATGCAGCAGTAACAATGCTGAGAATTTAACTTTGGGGGATTGTATCGAGAGAGGCTTCGTGCCTGATATTGGTGTCAATGTGTCCTCTTTAAATACGCCAAAAGATTTCTCGAATGGACAGAGCGGTAGTGACGCTCAAAGAAATCTCTCGGTGGCAAATCCATCCTTAATGGGACGTAACATACAAGAACCAGATGTTATGGCGTATAAACCTTTCAGAATGCAGCACCAGCAAAAGGTAAAAGAGCCCCTCATAGGGGAGAACTTTTCGCTCTTGGACGAGAGCATTGCAGACTTAAATCGTGGTTCTGGCATCCAGGCCCCTGACACTTTTACAATGAAAATGGAGCAGTTTTCCCCGATAGAGAAAGATAGGCTGGACTTTCCACCCTATGGCCACCTGGATAAGGAATTGGATGGTAATGAGAGAGTGATTGGAGACAACACCATTGACATCCTTAAGGATCTAGACTTACCTGACTCCCTATCTGACCTGAATGAGCTCTACGTTGCCGACGAGGCTGCCTTTCTTTCCTCGTTGGCTGTGGATGATGCCCTGCTGGGAGAGAGCAACTTTCTGAAGGATACCAGCCCTGTTGTCACTGGCAACAGTGCAGCCTACACAAATGTGAACGGCATGGGGAAACGGCAGCAGATGGTAGAAGCCAGTGTCAACATGCCGGTCATAAAGACAGAGAAAGACACAGACTTTATCCAGCTGTGTACACCGGGTGTCATCAAACAGGAGAATGAGAGGCGGAGCTACTGTCAGATGTCAGGGATGGGTGGGCCTCACGGTGGGCCCGCCACGTTGGGAGATATGGGCGGACAGACATACCACTATGGAGCCAACACCGCCTCACCTGTGAGTTTACCAGATCAGAAACCTCCTTTCGGCCTGTTTTCTCCCCTACCCAACTTAAGTGATGGCTGGGTTCGAGGAAATGGATATGGAGATCCGTCTGGGATGCAGAGAGCCAATGAGACTGTACTTCCGACAACCTATCCATACAGCAGGTAGGAATGACTTTCAAAAGCTTTTGAATGAGCTGCGTTGATTATGAACGATGAAATAGATAAATAGTGAATAATTTTCTCTAAAATGAAAGGAGGCTGAGGTAGTGCACATTATTTTGCAGATTTGCATGTTTTGGGACACGGTTCCCACGGCCATGGAAAACTAATGGGAATTTTAAAATCGTGATTTGATTTCCCGACCTGAAAAAGTTTTGTAGTAATGCTGAGCTGTAAAATATTTCATCAGCTGATGAAATTGTGTGAAATTGTGGCCATTATGGGAAATCTTTCCCCATAATGGTCATATCGGCAAAATGCAATCACAGAAAACTTTAAAACTCAGGGAGTTTTAAAAGTTTTAAAACTATAATTTAGAGGCTTGAAAAGAAATGAGTACAATTTTAAACATTTTTGAAGTTTTTATAGAGAATATAAATTTTGTATTTATTCTCAGTTCTAAAATATTTCACAGGATGTCATTTTTGTAAATGTAATCTCGATATAATGATCCTCATCCAGTCAAGTGTCAGTCAGGAAATCCTGATGGCAATGTGGAGTGGATTCTGTATTCCAGACCCATTTACCCATTTAAGAAAAAAAAAACTGGCCACGAAACTTCTCAAAACTGCATGATATTTGATGAAGCTGTTGTTTGCAGCTTTAATTAGTTTGTGTGTTGGTCCGCTGCTTCTCCCAGGAGCCCATGTGTGCTGATCTGTATTGGTGTTTTGCCTGTCCAAAGCAAACACATGGGCCTCATGGAGCTCCCTTCGGCCCAGAACGGCACACATGCGCTCCTCTCTGAGCCCGGTTTCAGGAGGCTCTAAGCATCAATAACAACATCGACCACTGTTGCTGTTGCTGATGTGATATTGTTTTTCGGTGAGTATGGAGAGGACTAGAAGCTATGAGTCATTATGGCTCAAAATTCCCTGAGTGCTGAAAATAATATAAAGTGTGTCTTGACTCCTGACCAATATTACTTTGCTACTTGGGGTTGGGTTTTCTGATGAAATGAATTTTGAAATGAAATGAGTTTTACAGCCAACCTTCTTGACTGAGATGTGAATTTATACACTCTGGGAGATCCTGAAATATATGGACTTTTAATGATCTCAGTTATGCTTTTGTTCAAGTTTCTGATTTGTATGTGTCCTAGTACGGTGTAATGTTTTGTTAACGTTTTCCTATCCAACTTGATCCAACGTGCCAGTCTCATTTGCGCAAAAGAAACCTTTAAACCTTTTCTCGATGGCTCTGTGTTAATCTGGCAGTCTACTTAGAAAGCCAAGTTAGAGATATTTAGCATATTTCTCCCTCTAAACCAACTTGGACAGTTCAGTGCTGTCTTAGTGGAAACTTATCAGTGTTAGTTACCTGAAATTTCACCTGACTCATTTTTGTGGACATATCTTGTATTAATATTCATTGTATTCATATTCTGTTTAGAATTGTTTAAACCTCTTACAATCATTTCAGTTTAAACATTCAGACTCCGTTCAAACTATATTTTGAAGTAATTTCAGCCTTAGGTGTGCCATTTTTGCTTGTTTTTCATACACTGCTCTTATGAAGACATTTGATATTAAAGTTTGGAAATCTCCCTTATGTACACTGATTAAATGCATTCAAAATGTAACCAACAGTGATGCTGCCATCATATTTGCATAGTGAATTACGATTGGTCTTCTTTATTACACTGATTTTTGTTCTGAATTATTGGCCGTCTTCCTTGCATATTTAACCATTTATAGCTCTCTTTACACTGTACGTTTTATGCACAGTGACAGAAAACAAGACATGTTGACTGTCATGATAACAGCAAAACCACTCTGATGTGGAATTTCATTTACACAGAGCCACAACCTAAAATTTAAAATAAAGAAAAAAAAAACGAACTACAACCATAATATTCTAACACGCTAGTATTTTATTCAGGAAATGCTAAATCTACTTTTTAAAATCATTTTCCGTTTAGATGTCATTCATAAAATAATAATAATAATAATTAAAAAAAAAACACCAGGACAATTTTTGATTTTGTGAAAAGTATTTACTTAATTTTGGATGTTAGATATCTTTTAGTTCAGTTTGGTTCAAGGGATTTACCAGATTTTTTATTTTTTTAGTTTTTTTTTCTGAAGGTCAGGAATGTGAACTGCTGTCGAGAAGTGATGATAAATCAAACATTTCATAAATTCGTATTCACATGTAACAGGACAGATAAGAGGCAGCAGTACTCTTATCTGTAAGTTAAAAATAATTAAAAATAGCTAAAAAAAAAAATTAACAAAAGTGAGTTTTTTGTTTCAATATACGTACAGTACACTGCTTAAAGTCCCCTATTGCTTGTGCATTTTTTTTTTTCCGGTTTTGGCATATTTCCTATTTCTACAGCCAGTAATGTTAAAGGGGTCATGAACTGAGAAATCAAAATTCCCTTGATCTTTTGACATATAAGAGGTCACTGTACTATAAAAACTTCCTGTAAGTTTCAGAACTCAAAACTTTCTTGTTAGTCTAAAAACAGCTTATATCGAAGCCAATCTGCCAAAACGACAGATTGTGGAATGTGCCACTTTATGACGTAATAGTGTGGCTAAACCCCGCCTCCGCAGAAGAATATCAACGCCTGTTTAGCCCTGCCCACCGATTCACGCATGCAGTGTAAATAACGAAAGAGGCAAACGCAAACAACAAGATGCTGTTCAGTGCCAAGTTGAGGAAAAACATAGTCTTTGCATCGCGTTCCTTCTGATCCCAGCATTAGGAAAGAGTGGATGAACTTTATTTTTAATGAAGATCCAGACCACATCAGTAAGTCAGTAAGTTTTTTTTGCATTACACTGTGCATATGAATGCTGGTTTGTTTAGAATTGTTTAAAACATTACGCACTTTTCTGAACAGACACGTAATGCAATTGCATTGCTTTGAATAAACAATTTAATGCAGTGCTTGATTTAGTTTATAGTTGCTGATTGCATTTTCTTGTGGGCCTAGGAAGCAACCAGTTGCTTTTTTTTCTAGCTAAATTCAAATATAATTACTAAAAACCATTTGTCATATTTAAGTACAAATTTTTGGTTTCGTTTTTTCAACCCTTTTGACAGCCCTAGTGCTTTTTTGAGTGATTTAGCAAATGGCTTCAGCGCTAACAAAAGTCTTAGTACTTCAAAAACTGTCACAATAATTAATGAATTGAATATTTTTGAAATGTCTCCGCATTAGACTTTAGTACAGCAGCCTTTTAATGTACATACTGTATGCAGTACAGCTAGAAAACTAGCCTAATTTTGAAAAATAAGTGCCAGTGAGTAATGTTTGACTTGGACTTAAATTTGTTGACTCTGACAGTTCCTTAAATCACACCTCTGATCATCTTTAATGCCAGCGTCTCATGGCTCGGGTTTGTTTCAACATGTTTTCTAATCTGAGAATCAATGGAATTTCCAGTAGCAGGTCTGATTTGCAATAGCTCTCTCTCATACTGCAGTCGAAAGAAATATCTTGTCCATACCGGTCCGTTCTGCTCTCTTTCCTGAGAGCAATATAACGGCGTGTTTGTTGCTTTAATTCACGTCAACGGCGGGTGATGCAGGAACACAGTGGTCTCTGACTTACTGTAAATGTGTGTACTGTATGTCAATTTGTAAATGTGTTTTTTAAGTGTTGATTGTCATATCCAAAGTATAGCAATTAAATTTAATAATTTAGATTCTGTTGATAATTTTAACCTTGAATATTATAGTAATGTACCAAATGAGAATGTCTTCTATATAGTTTGCAGCTTTAGTTGGGAGAGATTTTTTTTTCCTATAGGAAACTTGATATTTCCAAATAAATGGATATTTAACATTTAACAATTAATATATAACACAGAATACCATGAAACTTTGATATTTTCTGAGACCGTTATTGCACCATGAAAATCTCATACTGTTGCAGCCCTACGTAGGAAATACAAAGTATTTATAGGTTTTCAGTGACATGAAGATGCATAAGTGATTGTAGAATCAAGAATGTAAATATTTTAGCGAAGTAAATACACACATACAGTAGTACAGCAGCAGGTGTTATTTTATTTCTAGTCAGACAATAATGAAAATGATGATTACATAATATTTACCACTCTGGCAAACCTCCAAATTCTGTTCTTCAATGATTGATCTATGTATAATGATCATATGTTGAGCTTCTTTCTGCTAATTAATGAGTGTCAGTTGTAAGTGTCGGGTTCTTTGTTGAATGTAGTCACGTGAGAAAACAAACCCCTTCTGATTGTTTTTTTTTTTTCCACTTCTAGAGGGTGCGGTCCTACTCTAAAACCCTCCGGCACCACCCATGGGAAGAGCCATTGTATGCATTCAATGTGCTGATATTTGATAGTTCCAAAAGTTTTATTAATTATGAATAGGTCAGCATCTAGTGTCTTTTGCTGTATTCATGCCTTTTTTTGTTGGTATTAAAATTTTTGTGCATGTCACTTCCATCTGTCATTTTATTATTTTCCACAGCTCAAAGGATTATAATGATATAATCTACTCAAATAATCCAGTGTATGTGATAGAATGAATAAGAGGTTTGTATGTGTGGAAACCGGATGTCTGTGCAAACCGAAGAATATTTCTGATTGAAAATAAGACTCCACTGAACGCTGCCCCAGTTTAGAATGACTAAGTCGCATAAAAGTGAATAATTGGTGTCTCTTCTGAAGTTTCAACTTCACACCTTCAAGCACACTCTTATGTTTGTCCTGCGGTTGAACTAATCGTAAGATAACCATGAAATTTTTGGTATTATTTTGCCTTGCAAGTGAAAGTACAGAACTGATTTTCACGCAGTGTTCTCTGTCGACAGTATTGCTGTTTGTTTATTATTATTATTATTATTATTTTGAACTCTTTTTGGCCTTTTTCGTTTCTGTTGCATAGAAACTGTGTGGAGAGGAGACAATAAAAGAAGATCAGAAAATGTTTCAAGCCAGAATCAAACTTGCAGG